GTTGCACCAAAGTGGATGCACTGCTTCTACTGTCATAGTAGAAAGTAGTGAAGAGTTTATAGAAGAGTTTAATGAAGAATATAAAGTACTAGTTAAACATAGGAGCTTCTCCATAAAGGAGAGAAGGCCGATCACCTGCAGGACGCTACAACGCTGTGGGGCAGAGTTATAGGGGTACGCCCAAGGAGAGACATGTTCAAAGGCTTTGCCAGTGACCAATCACCTGAAGGGAGCAGTTTATAACTCATGGTCTATGACACAGGTGTCAAACTGTCGGCCCTCCAGTGGTTGCCAAACTACAAGTCCCATGAGGCATTGCAAGATTGACAGTTACAAGCATGACACCTAAAGATAGAGGCTTGATGGGACTTGTAGTTTAGCAACCGCTGGAGGGCCGCCAGTTTGACACCCCTGGTCTATGAATATCATGCCTGTGTCCTGTGTTGTATGAATAAGAAAAGGTTTTTTTAAGTTACCGTTATGGATGATCAGAAACAGACATGAAATTGTACTTTAATTCGCAGAAGCATTTAATAAAAAATAATTTGTGTGTGTTTTTTAAAGAAAACTGTTGCTGAGAGAAATTTTGGGGATGTCATTTCTGACCAGCTTCTGAAGATGCTACTTGCCTGGTTTTCGCCAACCTCTGTATTTCAGAGTCCCATAATTAAAGATCAACATGCAGCAAGTTGAAGTAGTATTAAACCATCAAAGAAAAGCTTCCCTTAAGTTCCACCAAATACTAGCTAATATATAATTTTTTAATGCCCCAAATCCGCACATGTTATGCCTTTCTTTAGACCTTCCTACATTCCTCTATCAACCTTCCCTGCACAGATATGTCCAGCCTTCACAAGGGCAGTAGGGGCCATTGGTGCGGTCACATGACACATGCACAGTATGGCCGATGAGCCTAGATCCACCCAGCGCATGTGCAGTACTGGCTGCTGGCTTTTCTATGCTCTGGAACTATCTGGCTAATGCATGTGCAGCACTGCAATTAGAAATCTAAGTGCAGTACTGTGCATGAAACAGCCAAACAAAGCGCCAGTGGCCTATACCATGTACAGTATGTTCTGGCCAGACTGTGCACCAACAGCTTGTACTGCACATGCACCAGGTTAATATATAGCATAGACCTCCACAGAGTTCAGAAAGGCAATGTCCATACTGCTCATCAGTGGCTAGTAATAGCGCCAATGGCCCCTGTTGCACCAGCTAGCAATAGCAGCAGCTGCCTGGCCTGCATACGCGCCAAGCCAATAATAGCACCAGTGGCCCCAACTGCACGTGCATCCAAGGAGCAAGGAACCAAGGTTGGGGGCTGTATGTGCAGTCTCGGCCACTTCAGAGTGGCACCAAGAAGACACTACAAGGTAAAAGGTCACCTTATTGGCAGAAACTCCACAGTAGAAACGTTCACAGGCTGTTTATGCTGCAAAGAGTAAGACTGCGGAAACAAAGGAACAGGAAGCAATAGTGACATAAGGTATTCAGCTACATTTATTCTTTTATTTTTTCAAGGAGTATGTATTAGTATATATATTTTTGATTTAAGGTGGTATTATCACAGGTTGTTATACTCACACTAAGAGCTTATAATCCTGAGCGCAGGACAAAAAATCTTTCATTAGTAGAAGGAGGGTTTATTATCACTTTAAGAGTAAAGTCAAAACTCCTGATTTGCCTTTTTGTTCTGAGTCAAAGTATTGCAGCCTTTGGATCAGCAGGACAGCCAAGCAACCAGCACTTTCAATAGGAGAGGTCAGCAATTGCAGCTGACATACTTTCACAGCACAGGTCCCCTTTAAAATAGTCACTATTGCATATAAAATGTATAGATTGTTCTCCCTGTGCTGTGCTCCCCTGGGTACTCCGGTTTCCTTCCACACTCCAAAAATGTGGTTGGTTAATTGGCTTTTGTCTAAATTGGCCCAAATATATGTATGAATGTAACTTAGGGACCTTAGATTGTACGCTCCTTGAGAGCAGGGACTGATATGAATATACAATATGTATGTAAAGTGCTGTGTAAATACAAAACGATATATAAGTACCTGTAATACATAAGTAAAAAAATAAATAAATAAAAACTCTTACCCAAGTTCAAGCTGACGACATATGACAGAGGCATCATTATCATCCCACTGGCTGCTGCATATGGTTCCCCAGGCACCATTCACATAGACTTCCACTACATTTCCCTCTGACTCGCTTTTCTGGTTCCCTCGCAGACGCACTGACCCTGTTAATTGTTAAAAATGCATTTAGATGATGTAGTATGGCTAGATAAATGGCATCCCACTGAGTTTAGAGATGTATGCATTCCCCTGTCGCTGACAATCAGTTTGAGGGTAAAGACTCTTCAAACCACAGATACCTTGAAGGGTAGAGCAATAAATTGTAAGGTCAAGAAAAATATTTGAGAAGGAATGTTTTCTAAATGTAAGGATGTAAGGTAATAGATCACTTTGGGTACACACTTTATGTAGGTCTAATATTACTAAACACAAGAGTTTTGTTGGAATTGTAAAATATCTTTTAATCTTTATCATACTGAACAAAAAATACGAAGTTTTGTGAATGAGCAGGGGAGACCTGTCACTCAAATGTCTACCGTTTATTTAACAGAATGCGATGCAATGTGGGAGTGTAGAATTGTTCACTTTAAAAATTGCAAAGCGGACAGAAAGGTTACCTTCACACTAGCCTTGTTTTCAAGCGGCAGAAAGGCGCTTGGGAAGCGTTTTTACCGCTTCCCAAACGCCTCGGACAATTCTGGCCATTGCAGCACATGGTGCTGTTCTAACGGGAGCGGGAGCGGTAGCGTAGCGGCGCGTCAAAACGGATGTCTCTAATCGAGACTATTCTAGTCTATGGTGCCGCTCCGCAAACACCTAGCCGGCGTTTTCGGTGCGGCTGCGACGCGGTTGCGGGGCGTTTGCAGAGCGGTAACATCATCCAAACTTCATTATAGGCGTTTGTGGGGCGTTTTTAACGCTCGGCAAACGCCGCTGAACCGCGCATGTGGCGTTTGTGGAGCGTTTGCAGAACGCCGGACCAACGCTTGCCAAATGCTATAGGGGCGTTTGGCAAGAGTTGTTAAAACAGTCAAGTGTGAACAAGCCCAAAGGCGCAGGCGAGCAACCCAACTTTTCTCAGTAGCAGCAGCTGCAGTTAACTCTCAGAGCACTAGAACACAGTACAGTATCTGGAGGCTGTGAGGAGGCACTGCGGCCATGATTTTCAGTAGAAGTAGCCACCTGCAAATAATGGGATACACACTATCACATATAACTAATATGTACAGTGCTGTATCCCAACCAGGGGCGGACTGACCATTTGGAAACTCGGGCACTGCCCGAGGGCCCGGGGTCAGTAGGGGGCCCCATGAGATGCCCCTGGTACCTTTTTCATAGGCTTTTTTGAGTTTGGGCAAGGACACAGGGGCCCCATGATCCCCTATTGCCTGGAGGCCCCATGAGTTGTCAGTCCGCCCCTGATCCAAACAAAAAAAAAATATAATGTAAGAAAACCCAAGAGCGAAAATGTAATTTATTGCAAGTTAACAATTCTTTTATGTGGTGGTTGGATTTGTTTTTAAAGAGTAACTCTTTTGCTGAGAAAAAAAACACTCCCCACTGTGTGATCTATGTACATTACAGGGATTTTAGCAAACTTTGTTGCAGATTCCTACCTTTTGTTATTCTGGAGAAATAGCTGTTTGTTTGTCTGTACCCATGTGCAGAGTGAACCTGTATGGAAGTTGTTTTATAATTATCAATTAGCTGCTGCACCTGCAGGTCTCGAATGAGGAAAGTGGCAGGGTCTGCATCCCTTCAGAAGTGATTCCCTTTGGGTGTATCTCAGCAAAAATGCCATTTTTGTTGCAGGGGATGCTCAAAATCAAATTTGTAACTTAGTGCAGACCTCTGGGAAATTCAGTGAGCCAATCACACAAGCAGGAAATGACATACCTGGGGGTGTTATGTACACCTGCTTTATACAGAACACCTCCAGACAGCCATATTGCATTTTAAAGTGAATTACAGCATTGAAGATTGAAAAGGAAAGGTCATTTTTAAAAACATTTCATTACAACATGACTTGCGTAGTAATTGTATATGATATATATTTTTTTATTTGCTATTTTTTCCCACAAAAAGTGGAGTTACCCTTTAAAGCCTTTTCTTTATATTCACCAGTTGATCCTGCCAGTAACACGCTTCCTGTCCTAGGCTAACAATGCTCACATACTGTACTGTGTCTAAGGAGAAGCAGCATTGTCACTCTACGACAGGAAGTGTGTTGGGACTACAGAACAGCTCCCTCCCTCCTCTTCTCCATAACATAGTAAGGAGGTGTTCTTAAAGTCTACAGACAGGTCTGGGAACAATGCTAACTGATAAGTATTAGAAAACCTCTGTGGACTTATCGGACAGACATAACAAAACACTTTTATTGGTATATTTAACAGACCAGAAGCAAATAAATAACAGACGTTCATTGCTAGAGTTTACATTTTAAGGACTTTTACTCACAGCTGTACATTAGGGTGTATGGCCATACAGGGTAAAATATGGCTGCTGCTGCTGCAGTGCCTGGGAGCCTCGTCTGCAGTGTAGTTTTGCCCATTGAGATGCATTACAGAAAAAACAGTGTGCTGCTATACGTGTGTACCGATACTAGAATTTGTAGGTGTAATTTTCAAAAATGTAAAATTTTTTGTTTTTGAAAATTCCTCCCATACACAAGCAGAGCTAGTGCAGGCAGTTACCTGCATGTAGCCACAAATAAACGCTTTCTGTAATTCATCATAATGGACAAAATTATGCTGCAGCTGTGGCTCCCGGGTGCCACAACAGCTGTATTTTACTTTGTATGGCTGTCTGTCCTAATATAGGACCTTCTGCAAAAGCCCTAAAACTGAACTCAAAGCGGAGTTCCACTCGACCTATCAAAAAATAAACTACAAAAACTGTAGCTGCTGACTTTTAAAATATAGCCACTTACCTGTCCCTTGGTCCTGTGGTGTGTCCCCTGTTTCACTGGCCGTCCTGTATTCCAGGAGGCCGGCATCTTCAGTGTGGGCACTCGGCTGTGATAGCGTGCAGCTTCACAGCCGGGTACCCACTGCGCATGTGCGAGTAGCGCTGTGTTTCCTGAATGGCCCTGTAGTCTTCTGGGACCTGTCACGTGTCCCAAAAGACTACAGGGAGGGAGGAAGGGAGGACGCCTTCCGTTTCCGATCGCTTAGGTGATCAGACCAGAAGTGGGAGCGGGTACCTGTCAAATTCGGGTACCCGCTCCCCAAAGGTGCCAATCCTTAATGAGGAGTGGGGGAGCAGATCTTAACCTCCCTGGTGGTATTCCCGAGTGTAGCTCGGGGTAAAGTTTCAGCACCATAAGCGGTAACCCCGAGCTACACTCAGGAATGCCCTGCAGCGTTGCATAGGGATCCCTTCTGCACTTACCTTGTCCTGCGCTCCCGCGATGTCCCTCCTGCAGTGTCCCCGGTAATGTCCTCCGGCCAATGCCGGCATCTGTCTTCCGGGTTCCGTTCCCTGCAACGTCAGTACGTACGGGGACGGACCTGGCGGGAAATTTAAAAATGTCAAAAAGTGACATTCACTAAATACACTAAAATCACATAGTAAAACATTAATGTATCAAACCATTTCACATACATTTTGTCCCTAGTGCTTTGTCCTGTGCCCTGCCTGCATTTTTACTGTTCTTTCTGCCTTGAAATTGAGAAAAGTCCATGGCGTCCAAAAAGCGTCCCTTTAGGTCAAAAGCGGTTTTAGACCAGCTAGAGAACAGCGATAGTAAAACAGAACAACTTGCAGAATTGAGTGATAATGATCCGTGGGGAAATTCGTCATCAGACACTGAAAACAATTCTGCAACTGAGCTCAGTGATGTGGGAACTTGGCACTCTATTTCAAATTTCAGTGTTTTTTGGTTTTATTATAATATTGAAATAAATTTATTATTATTATATTATTATTTTTCATGATTATTTTATAATTATTTATTAAATTATAATTTATGATTTCATGTTTCAAATTTTAACATACCTGGGATGTTTTACTAGACTCTTGTTCAGACAGATTTCAGTGAGTTATTCCTAAAAATTACAGGCCTACAATAAAAAAAACTACATATATTTCCATGCAAAAAAATGTACCGCTTTGAGCACAAAAATACTGACGTAATCAGATCGCTAGGGAGGCTACAGCGGAACTTCCCCTTTTGGGTGGAACTCCGCTTTAAGGCAAACAGGTAAGTATACATACTGTATATGAAAGCTGCTTTACCTGCCAAAGATTTTAATTTTTTTTCCATCCAGTAAAGAGTTTTAAACAACTGTGCCATACAGCACAATCTAGCCTGTTAAGGAAAGGAACTTGATCTTTCTCTGCTGCAGTTTCACTTTCACTTATAGGTCATCTCCCCTCCCCCAACTTTGACTGGACAGTGAAAGGAGAAACACACCCTGATGAGCTCATCTGTCTGTCATTCTTCTTTCTTTGCTCTCTTCTCAGCACAGATCCTTGCACTACAGCACACAAGATCGGCTCCCTGTGCTGCTTCTTTCTCTCCCTCTCTGGGCAATGTTGTACAGTAGACTATATGAGGCTATCACCAAGTCACATGCATGGACATAAAAATACATTTTTCATCTTTAATTGAAAATTGCACTCCATAAAAATACCATTTAAAGCAATTGTGTATTCTTTAGAAAGAAATGAACTGTATTTTTACATTCCTGTACAGCAGAATTGACACTATATGAGGCAGCACTATAAGGGACCACGCACTCTAGAATTAAAATTCAGATGCATTTGGAGCTATTTGGAAGCATGCATGTTTTGCTATTGCATTTGCATTTAGTCTAGCTGTGTTTACACAAATTAGTAAGTGTGTGGCTCATACCATCACAAATCCTTTGGCAGATAAAAATGTTCAAATGTGTGTTTAGCTGTTCTCAGAGCTCAGCGTTAAGCTGGCCATACATACATTGAAATTTGGCTGAATCAGCAGGAACCAGCTGAATTTTGATCCATGTATGTCCATACCTGTTCATAAGAAGTTGATCTGTCGATCAACTTTTCATAAACAGGCTAGCTGACATATTTTACCTCGATCAGCGCTACAGCCAATCAGTTGCAACACTGAAGAACCACTGCTCCAGGTTGGTCCACGCTAACTACACCCCACACACCTGCCGAGAGACTGCTCGCCCAGCTTACAAGTTGCACAGTAAGAAAATTCCAGATGGCTGCACTCCAACACATCCACTTTATTAGTTGCTAACATTCCAACAGGCAGAATCACATATGGTGGGAAACAAGAACAAAGTTGACATGTTTTCATCTTACTCATAAACTAATTTCAACTGAGCAAACCTATATGTCCTACTGACAGCTGTCAGCAATCGGCTCAGAACCACCCATCTCTCATGACTGTTGGACTTGCAGAATACCAAGGCTAATACTTACCCCTAATCCATAAAACCACCACCCTTCAAACCTTCCCCACCAAAATGACCACGCGACACTCTTTCTGGTGTAAAACCGACCATAGCAGCCATTTATTTAACATAACTCAAACATAACACTTCTTACAGTACACTTAAATGATAACTGACAGTAAGATCCCAACCGGGTCCAAGGTCTTTGAAGGCACCGTTACTCCCATCACAAACTCGGCTGTATCTGACACCCAATGAAAGGCCCCCAGCCACTACTACATCGCCTCGGGGACAATACTACAGTTACGTAGTCCCAGATACAGCCAATGAACTCCCACATTACCAACATGACCTTATAATTGGGAAGGGACACCCATACCTACGATGGGCCCAACCCTAATTCACCAAATTGTCACTCCAACACCGCCTTCAAAGACCCATCGACCCCTGCCGGCTGCCATGACAAAACAAACAAACACCTCGGGACACAAACAGCTGTCCTGAACAAGGAACAAACGCAATGAACCCACAAAAAACAAAACACAGAACAAACACCACAAACAAACCAAACAGCAAAACCAACACCAGGACAAACACAAAGGACAAACCATAACCAACACAGCAAAACAAAAATACGAAAACAGCTCCAGGGAGGGAGGGCGGGAGAAACCACCCCGTGCTGGCACAAGCTCCGACTGAACTCTGACAAGACCCAACCCCCCTTTCAAATCCTGGCAAGACCCCCCTCAATGTTGCGTACTCCAATCAGGTAAGTAACCCCCCCCCTTTACCTCCTGCATGAACTCCCACCCAAAATACACGCTCCACCTCGTCTGCACGCCCCAGTCATGCTGGCCCTCCCTTTTAGCTTCGCTCAGTCCAGGCCTTGACTGAAACATGCAAGCACAGTACAAAGAAAAATGCAGCCAATCAGCTGCAGTGCTGATCAGTGTATTCTGATGACGAGGGCAAGGGTGGACTGACAACTCATGGGGTCCCCGGGCAATAGGGGATCATGGGGCAACTCAAAAAAGCCTATGAAAAAGGTACCAGGGGCATCTCATGGGGCCCCCTACTGACCCCGGGCCCTCAGGCAGTGCCCCCGAGTTTCCAAATGGTCAGTCCGCCCCTGGATGAGGGAGTCCTGCTATCAAAATACAATGACACAACGGGAAGGATTTCCCCATTCACGCAAATCGGTTCAGTTTTTTTTTTTGTTGAGCCCATTGGTTGAATTAAAATAAACTGCATAACGTATGGCCAGTTTAACTTTAACACATTACAAATAATGAAAATTGCTTGCTGTGAGCTAATAAACAATCTATGCAATTGATTTATTAAAGACAAATAGACTGTTCACTTTACAATTGCAGTTGCACTGTCCAAGGGAATTTGCTTCAGGGCTTAGTAAACGAGGGGAAGCCCTGCTGACTTCCATTACCCAATCATTTGGAAGCAAAAATGCGTTGTTGTTTTTTCTGTTTGCATGCAATTGGGTATTCTTTGAAAAGTGAAGCTTCACTAACTAAGCTCTGGAGCAAATGTCCTTTATTTTTACAGTAAACAGTCTGTTTGCCTTTAGTAAATCAAGCCCTATTGCTCTTTGTTTAGGGGATGGGTTAGCACACAGTAATGCTGATCCTACTTCTCTGCCCTGCAAAATTCCTCCCGTTGGTTGAGTTTTTGATGGCCAGTCCACAGAACCATACACAGAACTGGCATAATTGCCTCCCCTCTTTCCAATATTACTATGCCTGCACTGTGATCATTGCCTAACTAGTGGCCACATCATCACAATGAAACATGGTTACTGGTAGGAGTGCCTGCTCACATTCTAGTGCTAAAAGAGCAGAAGACTGGACCGCCTGCTGTGGCACCATGGAGCCAGGTCAGTATTTTTGTGTGCTAAACCAGTAGTCTCCAAACTGTGGCCCACAGGCCAGATGCAGTCCTTTACATGCCTTTATCCAGCCCTTGGGGCACTGTTCCTCCCACTAATACAAGGCACTATTCCTCCTGCTGATACAAGAAACCAGTCCTTCCACTATTACCAACAATGGTGCACTATCCCATTGACATCAACAATGGGGAATTTTTCCTTTCATTGATACTGATGAAGGGTCATATTTCCTTCCATTTTTATAAACAATTTGGCACTATTCTTCACACTGGGGCACTGTTCCTCCAACTAATACCAATGATGGAACACAATTCCTCCTCCTACAGTCCACAGGAGCATGGACATTTTTTTACACCCACTAACCACCAAGCCTGAGACATTGTCTACTCCCACTGATGCTAAGGCATTTCAGGCATTTCATACTCCCAGGGGGTCCAAAATTAGGACTTACTAAAACTGAGGGACAGTAAACTTGCCCTTTGTTTAGATAGTTTGGAGACCCCTCTGCTAGACTATTCTCTATAAATAATGAGCAAAATATTCTTCATCAATGGCTGTAGGGGTAAATATTTATGGCAAGAGTTAGGCTTTAAAGTAATATTGTTTACTGGCAAACTGAATAGGCATGAAATGCAAGTTTGCAAGACTCTTTACTAGTGATAAGCAATTGAGTTCACAAATCAAGCAAATGGCATATTCTTTTTTTTTTGTCTGCATATATGCATATAGGCTTTTCAAATCTACAGTTCTACGAGGTTCATTGAGTTTATTCATTAATGTTCACTTAAGTTGGCAATGAACAGTTCAGATTTCATCCATCGGGGTCAACCGGGGCCAAAATTCAAGTCTTGGATGACCCTGTCATACTGTTATTTGAATGCGCTGCCGTGCCCAGTGACACACAGGAAAGAAGTCCTTGCATTACTTTGGAAATTGAAGCCCACATGGGAACCAAGATTCCCAGTGCGGGTGCAATTTCCAGTGCAGGTGACTTGCCATTAAGATTAATGGCATCCGCCCTGGGTCCCGAATTTCACTGTGCGGATGGTTGCAGCTGCCAGAATTTATGCAGGTCTCATGCAAATGTGAATCTAGCCTTAGATTTCTTTCGTTCAGCCTGAGAAATCCATGCATGTTTAGCTAGCCTTAGTAAAATATACATTCACTTGGCTTAGTGAATAAAGCAGTGTTCCCCACTAATTATGAAAAACTAGATTTTTGAAGTGCATTAATCTATACACGCCAGACAGATCTGCATACAAATAATAAGGCAAAGCAAAAATCTGCACTTTTTTTTTTATTTTATCATAAGTCCACCTCTTTTTCATCAGGGTTTACTCATGATAAGCACACAGAAGTCTAGAAACTTTGTTTTAAACGCGATCAATATTACTTTAAATGTCATTTTCTTTGCCTCCATCTGTAATCAACCTAATAAAATATGTTACCTTGCACAGAATGATGCTTATAAATATTCATGTGTTGACTGTTTAAAATTTTTTAATCCATTCCTTGAACAAAAGAGTAACAACACGTTCATATAAATCCTACACTGCAGATTGCCTTAGGTGGCTTCAAATGTATTACTAGCTTTAATAATCAAGTTTTACAGTTATTTGAACACAACAGCTGTTTATCAGGAAATTGCATATTTTTGGATCAATAATAAGTCCGAAAATTGCCCTCAGAGATCTGGCAGCACTTCACATATTTTTGTTGTTAGAAGGAAATGACCAAAGTTCTGAAACTGACAGAAAAACAAATCATTTGAAGTGTAGTACAGTTTATTGATTAAGTCATCTTTTATATCAAGCCATTGTAGAGAGCAGAAAGCCTTTTTATATCAATAGGACCATAAAAAATACATTAATGTTGCAGATTAATGTACCTCTATGTGTTT